AAGAGGGGTGGAGTAGGCGCCTCACTTCATGTGGCCACAGTCAATTTCAATATCTCTGACCTCCTTGCCACCACTACTACCACCACGGTAACCACCACCACCACCCTAAATATCCGTCACCACACAACCACCATCACGATAACCAATACCCCCACCATGATAACCACTATCCATACCATCACAATTCTCCCTAAAATACATAAGTACGAGGTAGAGACAAAGGTACACGTACAGGTGGGGTGAAGATAAGTGCAAAACTCTCCACATCATCAATTCATAAAAACATTACACTAAGAATTATCGGAGGTAGAGACTATTACTGACTAACTTACCTCCTGCAGAAATTGACTAGAGTTTTTGTGTATCACCTTAGTGGCCAAGGCCATGCTGTGAGTGATTCCATGACAACGCATTAGCTAGTTCACAACAAATTCTAATTATATTATATTATAACTACGTTAAGCAACAGCCTTTTAGTATATAAGTTACTATGTCAGTAACCAAACTAGCTCTGTACACAGTTATGTGAGACTGAGGAAACACTGGTCATGCATCCTAAATAAACATGTACGAGATCTCAATTTAAAGAAAGAGAGAGTCCAAACTCCCAAAAACATCTCTATGATTATAAATCAGATCTTTGGGCTCTGAGTGATGAAATTTTGCCAGACATCTAACCTTGTCCCCACATGCTATAACTGTTTCAGTTTCAATCCCATAATCTATAGCTCCTATGCCAACCATATTTGGCGCTATAAAACTTGTTTCTACCTACAGTATATATTTACAGACGAAATTTCATTGGTGTTATCCTGAGGTCCCAAAACCAATAACAAATATATTTTACTTTGAAGCCAGCATCTTTGTGCCTTATGTTACCATACACCAGTGTTTTTTATGCACTGAGGCACCAATAGTTAACCACAAATTTCCAGCCATTATAGTAAAATCAAATGCATCATCTGTGAAAATAGATATACTGTCCACTGCTATTTATTGGTATTATTGAAAAGATATTCACAATCTACGCGGGCAGGCATCGGTTACTATTAGACTGACTTTATCTCAATATATGCTTGTTTCATCGTTACTTTTTGATCTCTCATTAGATTCTTAGCATTTACGTATAATACCTCATTATTTTTTCCTCCACTGAAAATAAGCTGCCGAACATTATTGTGTTGTCTTGCTGTAAGTGGCGGAAACGATCTTCCTGCTGGTTACCGCCAAGCACTGCTTCGTTTGCTGGTGCCGACGACACTTTGGGGCGGCGGACAGGAGGAGAACGGCAGCGTCTATCTGGGTCACTGAGATCTAACCCAGCGCCATACAGTCACCATCTAGCTACCCCGCTGTTCCTCACAATTCTGGCTGTTATCTCATCATAGGTCCTGGACTCGTGGCTGTAAAGGTCCCCAGACCTTCACTTATCGACTGTCAATTCTCTGGTCATCTACCACTACCATACCACGAGACCGGCCACCGATCTCATTCCGCCTGTGCCCGGGGTGTTCACATAGCTTCTGCGACGCCTCGAGTGCAGTTGAATGGACGCTTCCTCACCCTGAGTGGATCACCCTGTTCCAGAACCTTACCCCAGGGCCTGCCAGAAATATTCGTTCATTGTTTGATTTTTCAGTTGTTTACCCTAATAATTGTCTGATTCTAGCTAACGTTGACTCTATGAATTGTTTGTCTTTTAATTGTTTGCTTCCATTAATTGATTAACTCCATTAACTATTGACCCATTAATTGTTGTTTGATTCCCGTAATTATTTGATGTTTGTTGAGGAAGCCAGAGTTTTGTGTTATATTTTTATAGTAAAGAGGATGTCAATCTCAAACGTTGTTTGTTATTCCTCAGAAAACTATGGTCCTTGACTTCTGTTAAGAGCCTGATTGGTCTGGTATGATTTCTATCCCAAAGTCCAGGTTTTACACTTGCGCTCTACATACAGGACTACCATAAGTGTTTTCATCCATCAATCAATCAGAATAACGTCCTCATATCGAAGGGTTGAATCCACTCTAAATGTTCTCCAAGGTTTTGTTTTCCGGGAACAAAGATTTAATTTAATTCATCCATCCCAGTTCTGTTTCTGGTCCTCCCACCAATTTTACCCATTAACAATTGCTATTATCCTCTCATTCCTAATTGTAGGAACAAATTATCTAATTTATTTTTCTCTACATTTCAATTATTTTTCTTGAAGTTTTGCTAACATTAGAACTTCATCTGTTTTTCTGTCAGTGTAACTTATTAACATTCCGCCTCTAATACCACATTTGCCTCCAACCTTTCCAGTGTCTTGAAAGTATCCACGCGTCTGACAATACCCAACAGCCCTTGCCATATAAAGCCTTCAGCAGCCCAAAGCGTCGACAATCTAAATGTTGCATCTTATATTCTTCTGCCTTTCATCCCTTGAAAACCCCAAAAAGCACACACCCGGTCTTATTCTTCCTGATTTTGACTAATTTTTCTGCCGCACTAAACTGTAAGTGACAAGTAATGTTTACATCTGAAGGCTCATTCCACCAGCTCGCCAAGGGCTCTGCCTCGTCACGATTATAAGATTCCACGATGATAATCTCTGGAAACAGGAATATGCCTCAGTCATCCCGACACATTAATCAAAACTAAAAGTACCGAATAAGAAAAACAAAAGAAAACGAATCCATAAGCTTTTAACATTTACTGCCCACGAACAACATACACTATGTTCATTCTGCCCACTTTTGTCCATAGATAGATTTTCAACTTTAATATTCCTACATCAGAAGACCAAGAACCATATATAATTACGAAAAATGAAGTCCAAAGCAACAAAATACACTGAAGACCATGAGCAGAGACGCTCAATACTAACCACCAGAGAAAATGAAAGTGAATCATCCAAAAGATTTCATTTTCTTTTTGTCTCAAACCGGTGATACGAAAGCGACTGAGCGTATGTATAATTTTGCTGTTCTTACGACGTAATGTTTTGCAGTTCACCAGTATTCTGTATTCTACATCTTCATCACAAGAAATAAATAATCCCTGAACGAAAGCGAAAATCGGGATTCATTATCACGGGTTAACAAAACCAGAGGAAGTGCACTTTATGATGTAGCCGCTTGGATGGCGCTGCCCTGAGACGCCTATTTGCCTCTGGTTCTAACATATTCTATTGTTTTCTCCCAACATTCTGCCTCTGTTGTCCCGCCCCACCACCACCTTTTTCCTGTCCTGCCCACACCACCTTGCCTCTTGTCCCCAAATCCCCCACCACCACCACTCCCTCCTCCCCACCACCACCACCTCCACTCCCGCCCCACCAACCACCTTTCCTCTACCTGTCCCGGCCAAACACCACCTTGCTCTTGTCCCGCCCCACCACCACCTTTTGCCTCTACCTGTCCTGGCCTAAACACCACCTTGCTCTTGTCCTGCCCCCACCACCACCTTGCACCTGTCCTGCCCACCACCACCTGCTCTTATCCTGCCCACCACCACCTTGCTCTAACCTGTCCTGCAAAGCCCACCACCACCTTGCCTCTGTCCTGCCCCAACACCACCTTGCCTCTACCCGTCCTGGCCCACCACCACCTTGCCCTTCACCGTCCTGCCCACCAATTAATCTCGTTTCAAGAACCAATCACCACCACCACTTGCCTCACCTGTCCTGGTCTCGCCACCTGCCTCCTGCTCCTGGCCCAAACACCACCACCCAAGTCTCTACCTGTCCCACCACTCACCTGTCTCCTTGTCCCTGGCCCAACAACCACCTTGGGTTCCCCACCCAGTCCTGGCCCACCACCACCCTGCCCCACCCCCCCCCCACCACACCACCAACCCCACCACCACCACCTTGCTCACCTGTCCTGGCCCACCACACACCTTGCCCTCCTTTGTCCTGCCCACCACCACCTTGCCTCTACCTGTCCCGGCCCACCACCACCTGCCTCTATCTGTCCTGGCCCCAACCAACCTTGCCTCCTGTTCTGGCCCACCACCACCTTTGCTCTCCCTGTCCTGGCTCCACCACCACCTTGTTCTACCTGTCCTGCCCACCACCACCTGCCTCCTGTCCCGGCCTCACCACCACCTTGGTCTCTCACCTGTCCCGGCCCACCACCACCTTGTTTCACCTGTCCTGGCCCCCACCACCTGCCTCTCCTGCCCGCCCACCACCACCTTGCCTCTCTCCTGTCCTGGCCCACCACCACCTTGTTCTACCCGGCCCACCACCACCTTGTCCCGCCCACCACCACCTTGCTCTACCTGTCCCGGCCCACCACCACCTTGCCTTCACCTGTCCTGGGTCTCACCACCTTGCTCTCTCCCTGTCCTGGCCCACCACCACCTTTGCAGGTTTCTACCTGTCCTGCCCCCACCACCACCACCCTGTCCCGGCCCACCACCACCTTGCCTCCTGCCTCACCCCTGTCCTACCCACCACACCTTTGCCTCACCCTGTCCCGCCCCACCATCACCTACCCCAGCTCACCACTGCCTTATCTCTACCTGCCCTAACCCATCATCACCCTATCTCTCTCTCTGTCCCGACCCACCATCACCCTACCTAGGCCCACCACCACCCTGCCCCGACCCACCATCACCCTCCCTACCCCTACCCAGACCCACCATCACACTACCTTTCTCTGCCCTGGCCCACCATCACCCAACGTAGGCCTACCACCTTCTTGCCTCCCCCGGCCTCCCTCCCCACCTAAGGCTGGGGGCACATTGAGATGTAGGAGAGTGCAGTGGGATAGACACAGAGCGGGGCAGCACAGCACAGGTGTGGTGCGAACATTGTCCAGCAGTCTGTCTCGCTGCGTGGGAGTCATGTACGGAATAATGAAGTAAATTACTTTCATGTTGAAATTACTTTTAATACTGATTTGAAATGTTGCTTCAGTTAGCAATATTGTACACTCACCATCTTCTAACTTAGGAGTTTCAGCTACACGATCCATTATGTCATTTTCAGCTTGGTATTCATGTAGTCAGGATGGCTGGTGTCATAGAGTACCCTAGACGTCAAACAGCGTCTACAAGTACCTCTGCCATATCAAGAATCGATGAATTTTATCCCTTGAGACACCTGACACGTCCACGTGTCGGGCAAAAACTGTGTTTCAACCACTCCGCCGCGCAACTCGACACAGGCCTACTCCTGCTCTGCTGCCCTGCTTTCTAATGTGTGGTCTCTGGCTAGAAATAACTAGCGCTGCCCTGCACTGTGTCTCCTGTGTCGTCTGAGCCTCAATGTGCGTCGAGGCTCACTCTGGCCCTCCACACCACCACCCTGCCTAACCCTGTTTTCCTCGGTGTGTATTTTAACACTACAGTTGAGTTCACCAGTTAGATTATGACCACCATTGCTACTCAGGGGTGGACTGGTTAGCCTGGTGGTGATTGGCCTGGTGGCGGTGGGCTGGTTGGCCTGGTGGTGATTGGTTGGTTGGCCTGGTAGTGGTGGGCTGTTTGGCCTAGTTTGTTGGCCTGGTAGTGGTGGGCTGGTTGGCCTGGTGGTGATGGGCTGGTTGGCCTAGTGGTTGCGGGCTGGTTGGCCTGGTGATGGTGGGCTGGTAGTGGTGGTGGTTACTTCAGCCGGATAGAGGAGCGTGGTAGGTGTCAGTCATAGTTAGTGAGAGGTCATCTGGAGTCATGTTCCCAAGACACATTCGTTTGTCAAGTCTTCTCTCAAAGGTCCCGTTCGTATGCCAAGGTCATAAATTAGCCGAACACTGCGTTCACTCAGCGGGAGCATTCAGTCGCTAAAAGCAAGTGTTCGTTAAGAGTTTGTAGTCTCAAGCGCTCACCAGGAATACTGGTTGACTATATGTGTTTGAAGGCCGGTATCTTTTGTAATAAGAACACCTTTGGGACGAACATTTTACATGTATGATCACCTCAAAAAGTCTGTGACCTCGGCAATCAGAATGAATTGCTGAACCCTGTGATTCCTCTGATTCAGTTTTGATTTCCAACCCATAGATGGAGCTTCTTACAGCACGAGTTATACAACACGGCGCCTAGTATAGTTGCCGGGAGTATCCCAACAGATGGAGCTATTCACGCCTGGCGATTTTATAAACAAATCACTAATGTGAGATAAAGCTTAATTTATTAAAAAAGAAACATTGCTGAGACTAATACAGTAGAAAACAATATACACAGTATCTAATAAATCCAAATGCACGCGGACCTCAATATACAAATAATACTTCACTAGTGTCATGTGCCCATAACCCCATAGCAACAAGCATGTCGTGTGGTGTCTGTTTACGCCTCCACTCCACACAAGCTATTAATAACTTGTTAATTTTACTATTATCTTATTGTTGTTCTTAGTTACTTAGGTTAATTGTTTATCTATGTATGTCATTAATATGCATCATTTGTGTTACTCTGTTAAGTCAAACCAAGAGTAGTATTAATTAGTTATAAGACTATTTGGCAACTGTCCTGGGTCACGTGATCTAAGACGCTCCTCACTCATATGCCAGGGTTGCCAGATTGGTCTTTTTAGAAGGTATTTGGCTACCAAAATATCGATTTAGCCATATTCAAAATTTGGCCAAAATTTGGCCATTTTTTTTAAGGCATTGATTTTGGAGCCAAATTTCAGCAAGAAGTTACTAGTCATGTAAAGGAGTTCAAGGAGAGACAACAAGTTAAAGAAGAAGAAAGCAAAGTCCTTGATGTTAAAAGAAGATGCCGTATATTTATTGTTGAGGCCATCGATCAAGTGCGTTCCAGATTGTGCAATGCAGCTGAAGCATTAAAAAATCTTTCATTACTTAATCCTTCGAAGGTATTAAACCAAACAGCTAAAGGTGATTTTTCAGATTTACCTATGTTGCATTTAGCTAAAAATAATTCAGATGAAATAGAACAACAATATCGGGAAATTACTGTAACAGATTGGAGACTAGAAAAAGTGTTTGAAAACAATGAAATTCCAGATGACAACCAAATTTTGGCTTGGTGTCTATCATCATGAAAACTTCAAGGAATTGGCAGCTTATGCACTTAATTGCCTAGTCACACCAGCAAGCAATGCTATTGTTGAACGAATATTTTCTCTGGTAACTGCACAAACCGAAGACCATAACTCCACTAGGCGCATTTATTATTGCACCATCATCCAGTCAGTTTTGGCCGCCCGGTGCACCTCTCACTACACCTAAGGCTGATGGCATTACCAGGTAGCTCATGCGTCCGCGACTCGTGGGTGGGAGTCAGACCACCACACTAAAATGTGTTAATTCATATTAAAACAAGTGATCCAATCTTTTAGTAATCATAGGGCGTGAAACAGTTCTTTACATTCCCGCCGCCGGGAGAGATTTAGCTGGTGGTGGACGATAAGATGTCACTTGGGTCGCATCTGCTTTGACTATTTATTACAATATTGTTTGTTGTACCTCGTGCATAGGGAGCTCTTATTGCGCATTTCAATTGAAAAATAAGCGCCTTTGTATTTATTACATCATAATTACTTTTTATGTTATACAGAGTCACGTAAAACATGTTATTGATATGCATGTAAAGTATATTGAAATTTGTATTGTTAAAATGATCAAGGCCATAATTCTCATATGTATTATTAATGGCACTCTTCCCTGAGAACTTCAACAACATGACAACTTCACCCGGAAAGAGAGAGAGAGAGAGAATCATCTGTTTGTATATATTTTTATTATTACATTCAGAACGGAATGTTCGAGGAAATGTGTAAAACATCCTCAGGTAAGGGACAATATAACCAAGAATACTCACAGGTGTGTGTAGTTCAAGATTCCAACATTGCCGGTGCTGCAATACTTCTTTTAGTTCCCATATACTGACTCGTTCGGAAGGAGACGCGGACTTCTTGATGTGACTGTAGTACAGTCAAAGAAAAGAATCACCGCATTACACTTACCGTGCCTTATGTTCTGAAACCCATGACGAAGAATTTGGGCAAATTTCCCCGTTCAGACTCGAACCTCGAAGATTCTCTGTCTCTTTACCCAATTATTCGTCATGGATTTCGGAACATAACGCTAGGAGAGGTGTAGCAAGACCATTTTACTTTAACTATCCTTACGCTAGGCAATAATGGCATATCTCCTAAACGTTTATAAAGAGGAGATGCCATTTTAATTCGACTCTGTGATCATTATATTACAGAAATATAAATACAGTACGTCATTCTGATTTATGAGCAACAGTCGTATAAATATTTCCTGGCTTGACTCACTAAGGGAGATAATACTGTAGGTCATCTTATATTTAATGCCTATCTCCTTTATTGATTCTCACATATTTACAGTCTACAATAAATTCCCTTTAAATGGCACAAAAGAGGTCTCGTAGAGAGATCGATATTAGATAGATACATAGATATGTATTCAAATTATCTTCATATAACGTAACACTGAATCGAATATTTATACTGTATGCAGAGTGCAGGTATAAATAGTACAGTTGCCCGCGTATATACTGTAATGTTCCTCGCCTCACAGGTGCCTTGATACAGTAAAGGATTCTGTACTCTAGGTTCTGTGAATATTTTAGAGCCTCACCGAAGCAGCCTCTCGGGAGCTGTGTACTAGTAGCAACAAGGGTAAAGGTTTGGCTCTCTTTAATACGCAGAACGAGGGGATGAAAAGACAGGCTTGTGAGAAGATTGCAGAAGGAAGGTATGCATAGAAATGGGATGAAATAGGCATTGACGAAGAGATGGGCATACAAGAAGTAGGTGTTAGAAAAGAGATAGGCATACAAGGGGCAGGTATTTGAGAAGATATGACCATACAATAAGGAGCAGATGTTAAAGAAGAGAAGGGCATGCAACAAGAGGCAGCTATTTCAGAAAGAGATGGGCATACAAGGCAGGTATTTCAGAAGAGATGGGCATACAAGAGGCTGGTATTCAAGAAGAAATGGGCATATAAGAAGCGGGTATTTGAGAAGATATGGGCATTAATAAAAAAAATAGATACAGGCATTCAGCATGAGACAAGCATATATATATTCAGGTTCCGGTAGGCGTGTTTTACCGACACCATCACTCGGGCTGGCGGCGATATATTCACATTAAAGTCCCGCCCCCCATCACCGCTGACTGAGTACGCTATTATGGCCGCCAAAACTCCCCGGATATCGTAATCTGGCGGCGGCGGAGAGTGAGGGCACGATCTCGGAGGCTATTGTGTCTAGGCTTGGAGGCTCCCGGAGGCTATCGTGTCTAGGCTTGGAGGCTCCCGGAGGCTATCGTGTCTAGGCTTGGAGGCTCCCGGAGGCTATCGTGTCTAGGCTTGGAGGGTCCCGGAGAATATCATATCTTGGCCAAGAGCTCCGGGGAGCTATCGTGTATAGGCTTGAAGGCTCCCGGGGGCTGTCGTGTCTTGGCTTAGAGGCTCCAGGGAGCTATCGTGTCTAGGCAAGGAGACTCCCGGAGACTATCGTGTCTAGGCTTGGAGGCTCCCGGGAGCACGTAGTTGAGTAATTGTGGCTAAAGTTTATGGCTCTTTGAAGCTTGAGCCAGACTATCACGGGTAAGACCCAGGTAAACATTATTTCGGGTCTCGAGTTGATTCACAACACCCTGAGCTGCAGGGAATCACTAGAATGGATAAAAAGTCAAGTCAACAATAGTATTCAAGCCTAGGAACCTACGAGGATGATACAATTGCCATAAATAAGAAAAAAATAAACAACAACAACAAAAATCTTAAAACAAGTTTATGTTTCACTAAAATATAATGAAAACAATACGTCATGTGTCAACTAAGTATTCCATAGATTCTAACTTATCATCAGACACTAGAGTCCATTTTTTTTAATATTAAACCTTAGTGACTTTTAGATTTTGAGTATAAACCATTAAAGGACAAACTTGATCTACAATCCTAGACAAGCTTACTATATTTTTCTTATAAACACTAATTTTATTACTCACATGAGCCATAACTGAATGATAAACCTTGATATAAACTGTCACAATAAACTGTCAACAGACATTAGTATTATATTACATGTTCCCTCTAACATTACAGGACTAAACAAATATATACTACAGCTCATAATTGCATCGGATATTATTTCTGTATGTATGTAATGTTATACAGAGGAGTTCGATCACCCGTGTATCTATAGAGAAACCTAACCTATGGAACTTTGAGAATGTGGTCATTAGGAAGATAAGATGGATTACTTCACACCTAGATAAGATAAGTGGATGTAAGGAGCTTATCAACGATCCTTATATACTATCATTAAGAGGGGAAAGGAGGTAAATCCACTCTTTGCTTAAGTTGATTTTGACATATCAGGATTAATTTCGATATTTTTGTATGTACAGTCCCCTTCACGAGCGCGTTTACAGGGGCTCGTCATATAAACAATCAACAAATCATTACATTGAGATATTTGATTTAATAATGTTTTACTTTGATTCCATAGTATATTTACTAATGCGAATTTCCTTCTGTCGAATGAAGCCAAACACAGGGCTGCCACACTGCGCAAAACCTGACGAGCCCCTGTAAACGCACTAGTAAAGGGGAGTGTACAGTTTCGTTCAGAAGTTCGTGGTACACTGGCGGTGAATGGTGCGTAGCCTGTTATACCCTCCCTGGACGAACGGTCACTGCGCCCAACCTCCTACCAACACACACAGTGGAACTGGCAACGGAGCACTTTGATTCGAACAATCAAAAGAAGATGGGAAGGATATTGATATGAATATGCTCCTGACGAGAGAAGAAAACTGTAGTGATAGGAGTATCCATTCGTATATCAAAATACAATAGGGAAATTGGTTCGAATGAACACCATAACAAGTAGGTGAACAGAGCTCATATATCAGGAGCCTTCAATGTATTCATAACTTGAAGTTTTTCGTATGATACTCTACTTATATATATATATATATATATATATATATATATATATATATATATATATATATATATATATATATATATATATATATATATATATATATATATATATACATATATATATATATATATATATGTGCAAGTAAATCACTGTAGGTGCGCGTGATCCAGGTATATGCTGATAACCACAAGGAAAAAGAAAACACAAAGTTCCCAAGCGCTTTCGTGTAATTCACATCTTCAGGGGTGAGTACAGACTAAGGAGAAATACATAACAAGGCAAATATATATACAGTAGAGGAAGGTGAGACCAAGTCCACAATAGTCAGGTTATTAGGTAGTGACCCTACTAATCTTCAAAAAGCACCACACCAACTGCTGCGGTGCTTTTGAACAACCACACCAACAGAACCACCACACCACCAGGACCACCACACCATCCACCACCAGGACCACTACACTACCACAACACCAGGAACAATACACCACCCACTACCAGGACCATCACACCACCAGGACCATCACACCACGAGGACCTACACCACCATAACACCAGGAACAATACACACCACACACCATCAGAACCACCACCCACTAGGACCATCACACCACCGGACCACTACACCCACAACACCAGGAACAATACACCACCACACCACCAGAACCACCACACCACCAGGACAACTACACCACCACACCACAGGACCACCACACCACCAGGACAACCACACCCAGCACACCACCAGGACCACCAGGACCACTACACCAACATACCACCAGGACCACTAACACCACCACACCACCAGGACCACCACATCACCACACTACCAGGAACCACCACACCACCTCACCACCAATCACCAGGAATCACCACATCACCAGGATCACCAGAATACCAGGACACATCCACCACACCACCAGGATCACCACACCACCAGGACCACCACACCCAGGACCACCACACCACCAGGACCACCACACCACCAGGACCACCACACCAACAGGACTACCATACCACCAGGACCACTACACCACTTCACATCAGGACCACCACCACACTACCAGGACCACCACACTACAGGACCACCACACCACCAGGACCCAACGGACTACAGGACCAACAGGACTACCACCACCAGGACCCATACACCACCACACCACCAGGACCACCACACCACCGGGACTACCATACCACACGGACCACTACACCAGGACCACCACACCACCAAGACCACCACACCACAGGACCACCACACCAGCAGGACCACCACCACCAGGACCACGACACCACCAGGACCACGACACCACCAAGACCACCACACCAGGACCACGACACCACCAAGACCACTACACACCACACTACCAGACCACCATGACCAAGACCACCACACCACCGGGACTACTACACCAACCGGACCACACCACCAGGACCACCACACCACCAGGACCACCACACCGCCAGGACCACCACCAACCAGGACCATCACAACACCAAACTACCAGGACCACCACACCACCAGGACCATCACACAACCAGGACCACTACAGCACTCCGGACCACTACACCAGGACCACCACCACCACCGGACCACTACACCACAACACCACCAGGACCACCACACCACTCGAACCACCACACCACCAGGACCACCACACCACCAGGACCACACAACACCAAACTACCAGGACCACCACACCACCAGGACCACCACACCACCAGGACCACCACAACACCAGGACCAACATATCAACACCACCAAGACCAACAAGACCACCACACCACCAGTACCACTTCACCACCAAACCCAGGACCACCACATCACCAGGACCACCACCACCAGGGCACTACCACCACATCACCAAGACCACTACACCACCACACCACCAGAACCACCACACCACCAGAACCACCATACCAGAAACATCACACCACCAGGACCACTACACCACCACTACCAGGACCACCATACCACCAGGACCACTACACCAGCATACCACCAGGACCACTACACCACCACACCACCAGGACCACTACACCACCACACCACCAGGACCATCACACCACCACACCACCAGGACCATCACCAGGGACCACTAAACTACCACAACACCAGGAAAAATACACCACCACCACACTACAAGGACCATCACACCACCAGGACCATCACCACCAGGACACTAAACTACCACACAACACCGGGAAAAATACCACCACACTACCAGGACCATCACACCACCAGGACCATCACACCAACAGGACCGCACACCACCATACCACGAGAACCCTTTCACCACCACACCACCGAACATCACCAGGACACCCACCACCGACCACCAGGACTGCTGAACCACCATCCACCAGGACCACTACACCACCACACCACAGAACACATCACCACACCTACCAGGAACCACCACACCACCAGGACCACCACACCAGAACCACCACACCACCGGACTACTACACCACCAGACCACACACCAGGACCACCACACCACCAGGACCACCACACCACCAAGACCACACACCACAGGACACTACACCACCACACTACCAGGACCACCACACCACCAGGACCATCACACCACGGACCACCACACACCAGGACCACCACACACCGGACCACCACACCACCAGGACCACCACCACCAGAACCACCACACCACCAGGACCACCACACCACCAGGACCACCACCACCAGGTACTACACCACCCGGACCACCCACAGGACCACCCACACCACCAGGACCAGCACACCACCAGGACCACCACACCACCAGGACCACCACCACCA